AAACAAAGTTTTGAGAGACATGATGTCTAATGCTTTTTTTGATGTCCATAGCTTTAGACACGGTCAGTGGCCAACTGCTGCTGTACACAGATCGTGTAGTGAGTACATAAACGCTGGAGTATTTGAACAAAGCAACGGGGAATTTTATGTATTTAATGCAGAAGAAGATAAATGGTATCACGAAAATAATTTAAAATGCGACTTTTTACAAGAAAATATTCAACTTGTCGGTTTTGATGGCGAGCTTTATGCTACAGGACAGCAACTAAACAAACCAAACAAACCTTCTAAACTTTTTGTTTACTGTGGCAATCGATGGGTGGAACTTTTGACAATGCCCAGTCATAATTTAACACTCCTGTCACATAAACAAGATATTTACATCTTGAACAACGACGATAATACCATTTACAAGTTAAATCCAAAGATTAAACTTCCAATTTTAGAAAAGTTTACAAACTTTCAAGGAAATCTTAAAGTAAATCATGCAATGATTTTTAATAACTTGCTTTTAGTATTTTGTTCTGATACTCAAAACGGCTTTGACAAAACAGCGGTCCATACACTGGATTTTGTATCTAAAGTTTGGACGCGATTAGTCACGATAGATGGCCCGGCAGAACACATCATTAGTTTTCGAAACGACAAACACAGCTATGTTTTACAAAGCAACGGCAGTTTGTGGTATATTTTCAATTCAAATACTAATACAAACATTGAACTAAAATTTGTTTTCAAGCTTTGGAATTTAAAAAATAAGTTAAATGGTGCTTTGACCTACAATGGCAAACTTTTTGTTCTAGGATCCTTCTCGCCCAATAATCCAACTGTACAAAATGTTCCTGGACACATTACACACATTCGTCACTCGATTTCTGATGCGAAGAGTTCTAACTTTATCCCAATTGTATTTCCAAAATCACACTTGTCAGCATTTAACGTTTAGTACACTGCTAAGTAATAAATAATCAACCAAGTTATAATTTGATAATAAACTTTATATTATTGGATTTACGCTTCAGGAGTCAATGCTATGATGCTTATCCAATCCAAAAATAAATTTCTATTTAAGTAGTATTTATATGTATGATCTGTCAATCTATTGCTTTATCAATTATAGGGAAACATAATTTTTCTGCTATGACTTTTGTAATTAAAATCTCATGGCATTTAACACGCTAAACAAACAAAAGCATTTTAAGTCAAGTCTACTAACAATAATCATTAAAAAAAACAAGCATTGATTTTAAATATGTATATTATAAATAGAATCTCTCAGTTAAAACAAGGCTAATCTGCAAACAAAAAAAGATACATGCCACTTCGATTAACATTAAAATTATATTTTAGTAGGTAGTTCAACAACAAGACCCTAGGCGGCCCGATATATAACAACAACTCGCATCATAGGCAAATAAGCTATTTGACCGACCCTTTAAAAAATACGTGAGATTTTTTAATGAAGAAATTATAATATCTGTACTAGCGTTGCATACATGTTGGTCCTTGCTCAGTATATAAATTAGTCCCTTTATATTTTTCACATACGTTCACATAAAAATCCAATCTACATTAAATTTTCAAAAATACATCATGATCGCCATGTATATTTATTTGTTTTCATTTGAGTATGTTTTAAAAAATACGTTTGTTTAAATATATACATTATACAAATCAGGCTTTCTGTATATTTTTACAACTACTTATATATAAGATATATTTATTCGACTGACTAAAAATGAAAAATAAACTATAATTTTTAAAATAGTGTTGTCTAGTATTTCTTTTGTATTTGATTTCAACCAAGCTTATTGAGTACAAAAATTTACAAATAATTTGTTTTTTTCTAAATTGATAAATCAAAAATTTGTTAGTTTATTCATAATTTATACCGTAGCGTACTCATTAATCAATATAAAAATTTCACACAATAAAATATTGTTGTTTATATTAAGCATACTGAACGTTTAATTTCTTTTTTTGTATGCATTAAATTTTCTCTTACAGTTCCTGTATCTCTGTTTTACTTAGAATTTATATTACCAGTACAAGTTTTTAATACAAAAAGAAAGTAACTACCATGTTAAGTCTAAGATATATATTATCAAATGGTATAGCTTACAAATATTGAGATTTTATTACTATTAAGGTAGCATGATGATTACCAGTAAAAATGCGAAAATCGATGTATCTTAGTGTTCGTTAAATAGGTAACGAAATTTTGCTTTATTAGTTGAATTAATAATATGGAAATTGGAACAGTGTCAAAACAAATCATAATAAAATTCGTTTTAATAACGTATGTAACTATGCTATGAAAGGTAAAAACTACAAGATTTTCCTTAAATAAATAATAATCCCATATTATTAAAAGATCTGTAAAAAAAAGCGTGCGTCGCTTCGTAAACTTCAGTAAAGTTATTTAATAGATAATATAATGCTTTTAGTGCATACTTATATAAAAACTTGCGATTAAACCCGTTTTTTATTGGGTTAATTTTTTATACTTTTAAAATTTAAATACAGTGGAATTGCATGACTAAAAATAAACCGGGAGTGATCTCCCCTAAACTTTCTCGAATATTCTTATATAAAATAACAGGGGATGGGAACTCGGGCTATAGACATGATTTTTAATCCATTTTAAATACTTAAAGTTTTAAAAATAGAATAAAATCTCGTAGACAAATTAATTGCACACCAAGTGAACGCGAATAAAAAGCGCATAATAGTGCGCAATATTATTAGTACTTTTAAAATTTACATTAGTTTTTTGAGAAATCGGAAATAGCGTAAATAAGTACTTCCGGTCAACGAAAAATTCTCAAAATTTGACAGAAGGTAGAAAATTAGATCTTTTACTTACATATCAAATTTCATTCATCTATCTGAAATAGTACTCAAGTTATAGGCTTTTGAAAAATTCAAAGTAGAAAAAGTACCACTTCCGGTTGTCGGAAATCGCTCAAAAGTTGATACGGATCTACGATTTTGATAAAATACTTATATATGAAATTTCATCAACCTAGCTGTAACGGTACTCAAGTTATCGTGTTTACACACGGACACACACACACACAGACACACACACACACAGACACACAGACATACGGACAAGATTGCAAAATTATGTTTTTCCGTATCAGTGAGATGCAAAACGTCGAGATTTGCAAAAATCTCGATTTTTTTTTTTGCACGATTACAAGACTCTCTATACTTCGTATATACGAGAAAGTAACAATAGCACACCAAATGATCACAAAGTGCGTATAAATATTGCGGAAAAACGTACTTTAAATAGGAAATTGAAATTTTAATCAATTCTAAAAATTAATAAAAAATCCAATTAAAATATATTTTGTGTCGATTGCATAATCAACGGATGTTGACGCATGAGCCAAGTTAGAAAGAAATTGGTCCGTTAGAAATGGTCAAAATTTCGCTTGGCAGTTTTAACTCTTGACATTTAACACTAAGTACGAGAAAGCAAATGGGACAAGGGCTAGACTGCCAACCTGAAAGTCTCCAATAGGAATCAGAGTTCAAGTCCATGAGTTCGCCCAATTCTGATGATAACTGACTAACGTTAGGGAAAGCAAAGTCGGCTGGGCATAGTTCAGACCACATTTGCGGAGGTCAAGAAACATGTGAACTCTTCTTTATCTGCCCAATAAATCGCTAGGTCTAAACATAAATCTTTACATTACTACGACAACGCAAGTTAAATAAAAACTTGCATTAAGAATATTTCCTAGTTTTCAATAGTCGGTCTCAGAAGGTAGGCTTATAGCTTAATTTTTTTGAAAATATGTATTATTGTATTTGTAGTTTAAACAATATTTAAGTTACCGGTAATATGCCCAAAAGCAATAACAATTTTACGTCGACTTTTATACTCATTTAAATCCATTCCCCCACTCCTAGTCAGCTGTAGTGTATTCCATAAGGATGGACAATGATGACTGTAACAAATTCAACACCCGAATTACATAAGAGGTATTATCCAAGACCATAGACGCACTAAAACTAAATAAAGCTCCTGGACTAGACGGTCAGTGAATTTTATAAAACGGTTGAAATTGATTTTAATACTCATTTTAGAAGCTACATTTCATTAGAAATAAGATTTTATCAGAGCATATTATTATGTAACACTCATTCCCAAAAATAACACGACAAGGAAAAAAAATTGTACATTACAGACCTATATCATTGCTGAATAATAATTATACAATACTGGAAAAACATTAGTTAAGAAACACGAATATTTCAATTTTAAAGTAATGAGTTAAAGACAGCAAACATCATAGTACACAGAAGGGCTTAAATTAGCAATGGATAGTATAACATAGAGACTATATAGGCGAAGATAAAAGTTATATAAAATTAGCACTATAACAAACCCAAGGTAAAGAAGCATTATATCGTAGACATACTGCAGGCTGATGACCTGGATGGGAAACAGACTTATAGAAAAACAAACGTTTGGTGTACTTAATTAACATTTGCTAATCTCCACTTATTTGCGTGTAGGAAAAAAAAATTAAGAAATGGATCAACAAGACAGATAAAGTACAACTTGTCTGTTTCTTTAACTTTTATTTTCTCCAACTTGATTCATTATAGAAACATCTAAAAAATAAGTACGTTGGGCGCGGGGGGGGGGGGGGGTGAGTTTGTTCCGGCGGAACACTGGGGTACGTCAGTTTTTGACTGTTTCGTTCTCTGTTCACAGATGTGCTAAGGGTGTTTTACGTCAAATGATGCACATTAATATGTGTGAAGGGGCGGGGCTAGACCTGGTGTAGTATTAAGATGCTTGTTGATGGGATTTGGGCTCTGTGTCATGTTTTTAGTTGGCTAAATGAATTTGAATAATGAAGGTTTAAGTTGTCAAATAGGCTTCAGTTTACTATATATTTTTTTTCTATGCGCACTGCAATGAAATTAAATGTTTTAATTTTTTTCGCACCTTCAAAGCACGTTCATTTCATTCATAATATGCACATTTTTACTTCCGATCATTCAAGATTTAAAACGCTGAATACATTTTATTTTTATACAGATATAATGACTTGCCTACAATAAAAAAGGTATTCCAAATGTTTTTGACAGAACATGTTTTATTAAAGTAAGGTGAAGCGTATTGTGGTAAGATAGTAGTCTATCGTTTTGTGTATATACATACAATAACAACTGATGGTACTAACTACTAATTATAGATCTAGATCTAGGTCGACAAAAGAACTAGATCTAGATCTAGATCTAATTTATTAACTTCACGTTCATTGGTTTGCCCGTATCGGTGTATTTTACAAAATGTAATAGTTAATGAAATAAAGTTTTATTCATGTCCAAAACTATCGAAAATGCCCACATCAATTTTGAATAAGTTGGTTTGGCTCAAAATTTATAATTAAAAGCAGCAGTCGTCTTTAAAAAACTATTTAAATACTTTCTTTTGAAAACGTCTTCGTTCTGATTAAAGTATTCATAAATAGATAAACACGAATGCTTTATATTTTATTTTATTGAAACGAATGAATTAGTCAATTAGTCCAGCACTAATCACTATCAATGTGACTGTCATGTCTACAAAATAATGTTAAGTTGTCCGCATCATGTTACTTTTAAAGTTTGTGTCTGGCGTAGTAGTATGTTTAGATGCGATCATACATGACAATCAACAGCTATGAGACTCATAGTGTAAATTAAGCATAGGTGTTGCCTATCGTGAAGACTGTAAACTGTAGATTATGGAAACGTTTTCGGTAAGGTAATTTATCGAATCAGTCATATTTCAGTTTATTCTGAGGTATTCTGACCCTGCAACCTTTTGGTTAGTCAGAGATCATTTGTCATGAGATCAATATCATTTAGCGATATATGTATATACATTTATACATTTATATAAAAAACTGTTCTTGTTAATCATACACATCTATATGTGATCTTACTTTATAAACATGTATATTACAGGATTATGACTGCTCCAGAAATTTGTACCCGAATCGTCAAGTGTCTGCAGGATGTGTGGACTGACAAAATGTTGTTTGACTTTGCCGTCAAGGTCTCTGACGAAACAATTCAATGTCATCGTCTCATCCTAGCGGCCTGTTCTGATTTTTTCAAGGCACTTTTTCGTTCTGGTATGAGGGAAGTCACAGAGAACTGTGTTGTTTTACAAGATGTTTCTTGTGAGGTGTTTCAGATAATTCTGAAAACAATTTATACGGGGACAAATCTGTTAACGTTAGAAAATATTTTTGAAGTTTGGCGCGCAGCTCATCAGCTACAGATAGCATTTATGATTGATCAGTGTGAGAATTTTGCAATATCATCGATTACAATGGACACATGGGAATCTATTTACACCAACGCAAAGCTTTTAGATTCAGTCAAAGTTAGTTTAGGGCTACAGAATTTCATGTCAAAAAACTACGATAAAATTAGTCTCTCAACGATGTTTCTACATTTGCCTTTTAATGAAGTCGCGGATTTGATAAAACGTCAAGACCTCGTTGTTGCCAGTGAAGATGTTGTCCTTGAGTCTGTTTTAAGATGGGTCAAGTATGTTCCTACTGACGCACATAGCACGCTAAACTCTTCGTCCAGCGGTATTAACCTAGAAATACATAATACAAATATAAGTCAAATAATATTAGCCGATACTAACCAACACAAGATTAAAAACAATGCTGAAGAAATAAATTCTGAAGCTGTTGTAGAGGTAGATCATATTCTGGAAACAAAAACGGAGTTAACAGACGAATGTAGCGTTCTTCAGTGTAAACCAGTAACTGAATATTCTACAAGACAGGAGAAACTTACAGATCTGTTGAAGCTAGTAAGGAGATGTCTTCTAAGCCCGGCGATGCTGTCTCGTATCTACAAAATGGAAACGATGTCGGAAAATAATGTGTTAAAAAATATCATGTTTGATGCATTTTACTACGTACAAAACTTCAGACACGGTCAGTGGCCAACAGCTGCCTTACACAGATCATGTAGTGAGTACATAAACGTTGGAGTGCTTGAAAAATGCAATGGAACATTTGAAGTTGTAAGTCCAATTGACGAAAAATTGTACAATATTTCAAAATGTGATTACTTACAAGAAAATATCCAGCTTGTCTGTTTTAACAATGAACTTTTTGTCTTCTGTGACAACAGCTGGGATGAAATTTTAACAATGCCCGGCCAGAATTTGTTGTTGCTGTCACATGAACAATTTATTTACATCTTAAACAAAGACGATAAAATCATTTACAAGGTCAATCCAATGAAAAAGAAAACAGTTTTAGAAACGTTTACGGATTTTCCAGAAAATGTTGATGTCCAACATGCAATGTTTTTTGAAAACTTGATTTTATTCTTTTGTTCTGAAACTCACAACGGCATTGACGAGACTGCTGTGCAAAAATTTGATATTTCGTCGAAAGTTTGGACCAGATTAGATAATCTTGATGGTCCAGCAGAGCAGATAATTAGTTTCAGAAATGATGAAAACAACTACATTTTACAGAAAAATGGCAGTTTGTGGAGTATTTTATATTTACATTCAAGTAAAAACATTGAACTTAAATTTGTTTACAAACTTTGGAATTTACAAAAAAAATTATACGGCGCTTTGACCTACAATGGCAAACTACTTGTTTTTGGGAATCACCCTAACAGCAACCCACCATTTTTGGCAAAAACACTTCCCGGACACTTTGAACAAATTAGATACTGGGGATGTGATGCTCAATGTTCTAATTTTGTTCCAATTACACTTCCAAAAACATGCTTGCAATCACTTGAAAGTTAAGTCACGCATTGCTAAGTAAACATCCCAATTTAATTGTCTATATTAAACGGGACAAACTATTAGGTTTACTAATGCAATGGCAGGAGATAAAAAAACATTGAATTCAAAATCTTTTATTTATGATTGGTGTGCAGTTTTTTTTTTAACTTTAAACTTTATTTTATTTATAAGATCAGTCTATCATTATCGTTATCAAATGTGTATAATGATTTTAATTGCAACATGCACTAATGCTATACATTTAGAGACGTGGCGATCAAATTTGACGCCCGGGTCGAATTATTGATTTTACCTGGTACTGTCCCTTTAAAGTGTGTATTTTGGTTTCATACAATTGACGTAGAACATATTAAAACTAGTAAGTAAAGTCAAGTAATAGTCTGTTTTCTTACATTTTCTTATGTATACTTAATGCACCCAATGGTCAGCCCCACCCATCCTCTACAAGCTAAATCCAGAATCCACAACCTTATAAACTTTAATCAATCATGTAGCTTGTAGTTTAACAAATATTTCTATAGTATTGTTTTTGGCTTGTTAAAATGTCATAAGTATTGGGGAACAAAAATTAATATGTATAGAAATAAAACAGATGATAATTTTGTTCTAAAAATATATTCATAAAAATAAACAGTGCGCTCGTGGAACACAAGAAAAGATTTAATACAAATTAAAAACAAAATTAAAACATTTATTTTAAATAATTATTTAACTTAGACCATTGTATCATAAATCTCGCTTATTTTTAAATCGATTTTGATATACGTGAATCTTGCTCTAATATGTAATTTTCTCAATTATGTAATTTTATATAGATTTTTTAGTAATACTATAGTATTTGAACTAACACCAGACTTTATTAATAGATTTTAACAATTACATTTTTTTTTCAATAAGGGAAACAGGGCTTAACAAATTTTACGTTCAGCACGGGAGCAATGACAAAACACACCGTCGACAAAGGCAGTACATATAGAAATATTGTTCAACATGATACTTGCAGAATGTTTTTAAGGAATTTTATACAAAGGACGCTTATGATTTCAATGTTAGCTCGGTATATGGAATTACAGAATATATTTTTACATTAGTGCTTAATTAAACGAATGCAAGATAAGATTGTAAAATACACATTTATACGTTATTTAGTATTTGGAAATGTATTATGTGCACATGCACCTGTGTTACATTTTTCTATATGATATATTTAATTATATACTTACAGTTTAACAAGATTTCTAATTTCGTTCGACGTTTTCAATAAATTTTACACATAATAATATATTTATTAAAATAAAAAATTAATACGGTTTATTTCATTTTACATTCAAATAAAATTGAGAATTGTCAAACAGCAATCAATTCATTTTTTATATTAAATATAATCTACATTTTATGTTTTAAATTTAATCTATTTTTTTATGTTTTAAATTTAATCTATTTAAATTGCAACAGTTTTCTTTACTGTTTGTAATTGGTCATTTAAATATTGACTGTTTGTTATTGGTCATTTAAATATTCACTGTTCGTCATTGGTCATTTAAATATTGTCTGTTTGTAATTGGTCATTTTAATACTGACTAATTGTAAAAGTTTAGTATAAAATATACACATTGATAAGAAAATTTACAAAACATGAAATTGCAATAAATTCATCTTACTCTTGTGGTGAAAATTACATGTAAATGGAACACGTTATCTTCGTTGATTGTGTTCTATTTGTTCTTAGATAAATTATACCACAATTTAATACAAGTAAAAAATTACCAAAATATTTTAGAATAAGGCGGCCGTGAATAATTTATAATGGTTTATTAAATAATTTTAAAAATCGGATCAGATATTATCAAAATAAATGTGTTTATAAAAACGTAATTGTGAGTTTTTAGTCAGACTTTACTAAAGATTGGATGTATTTGGTGTTTTTTTTTTATTTTTGGTTACTAAAAAAAATTTAAAAGCCATAAACAATTTTTTTGTATCTTATCACTGAAAATGAAAAGAAAATAAACAAGGCATGACCAGGTCATTTAGTAAAAAAAATATTTTATTTAAGGATTGTATTGGCAACGTTTTGAGTACAAATTACGGCAAAGTGGGATTTTCAGAAGATCGATCACGGAGTTTCTATACTGCCACTCAATGTTTGACTTACAAAAGTGTAATTTAAAGAAATACTTGATGAAAATAAATAGAAATATTGCCTTAAACGCATATAGATATTTTTAAGTTCTCTGTATCTACAACTTTTACAACTTTTATATAAATTCCAAAAAAGTATACAATTTCTGAATTTTTTTCAAGCTTTTTAAAATTTCTGTTTGACCTCTATGATGGCAAAATAAAAATAAAAAACGCCTTTTTTATCCATGTCAACATTACGTTAAATATTGGTTACTATAGCACGTCGCTTACATCTCTAGCAAGTGAAGAACTTGTATTTTTCTGCATCAAATGTTTGCACAGGATATTAAGTTTGAAAAAGAAAGAATTGTATCGCACCTATTCAGCGCTTATTTAGCTTTATCGTCTTATTTAAACTTTTTCTTATTTTACTTCCGACCTTATAATATCTAACACACTTTGAACAATCTTAAGATAAATTAAGGTAAAATAGACTAGAATTTATTACATCAAGGGTAAAGATAAGCGTTATAAATTGATAACCACGTATTTGTACTTTTACTTCAACAATTTCATTTAATCAATTAATGGCATCTAACATGTTGGGTTAGTTAGAATCTAGATTTCTTTGCTGATTGTATTGTTGCTGGTCGTTTCTAAACAAACATTTATCACGTTGTTAGAGATACAAAAAAAAATTAATACAAACTCAATATAGGTTTTTAACCACCGAGGATCGCTACACGTTGAAATAACTTTCTAAAGCCACGAATCCAAATATGTGTAAGAAGATTATAGCAATGATTGAAGATATTATAGATAGATTAAATTCACAACAAAGGGCTTTATTTTAAGGCCGCTTTACCATAACACTGAGACCCCCCCCCCCTCTCCTCCGAAGAAAGTATGGAAGAAAACAGTTTATTAGCTCTATACGTTAATAGACTTGGTTTAATTCTTTGTGTTGCTAGTAGACTGCAACATTGTGTGAAAATCGAAGTGTATGACCACACCAGTTTCTACACCTTGAATACGTCAGGGTGTTTATCCCACAGAAGCTTCGTCCGATGGTTGCACACGTTACTCTCATGTCGTATTGATATGTATCCTATATATACGCACATATTTCACATGTAAAATATTTAAAACAACGCTTCTTACATTTGTATTACAGTAAGAACAACATCACCATGACCGCATCTGATTTTCGCACTGACATATTCAAGCGTTTCGAGGATGTGTGGGCTGAGAAAATATTATCAGATTTCACAGTGATTATCGATGAGCAACCAATCAAATGCCATCGAATGATCCTAGCGGCCTGTTCAGATTATTTTATGGCAATGTTTCAGTCAGGGATGAAAGAAGCCACGGAAAACTGTATTGTGCTAAACGATGTTTCCTACGACGTTTTTACGTTCATTCTCAATTCACTCTACACTGGGTTAGCTGTGTTGACTTCAGAAAACTATCTTGAAGTTTGGCGAGCTACAGATATGCTACAAATAACTTTTATGGCCAATATGTGTGAGACTATGGCAATTGAAGAAATTAATGTTGACACATGGGAAAACATTTACACAACTGCACATCTTTTAAGTTCAGATAGAGTCCTTCATCAGCTTCAATTATTCATGGTACAAAACTTCGAGAAAATCCGACTTTCCCCATTAGTTCTACAAATTTCATTTCAAGATTTTCGAGATTTAATAAAAAGCCAAGATCTTGTTGTCTCAAACGAAGACTTAGTTCTGGAAACAGTGATACGATGGGTTAATTATGATCCCACAATGACGGCAGTGCTAAAAGAAAATTTGCTAGAGGAAAACCCACACAAACATAGACGTATGATGTTTGACAGTGTACAACCTAAAGGTTCTGTTAGCTTGATAGCTAGTGAGGATACGTCTAGAAAAGATAAATTTTCAGATTTGTTGAAACACGTAAGGACCTGTCTTGTAAGTCCGGCTGTTTTGTCCCATTTATACAAAATGGAACTCATTTCAGAAAATAAAGATTCAAGAGACATTGTTTTTAATGCGATAAGTTACAATGTCCATGATTTTAGACACGGTCAGTGGCCATCAGGTGCTATTCATAGATCGTGTAGTGATTACATACAGGGAGGGGTATTTGCACATCTATATGGGTGCATTAGTTTCATAAGCGCTGACGATGAAAAATTTTACCACATTGCGAGATGTTCTTATGTACAAGAGACTATCCAGCTTATCGTTTTTAACGGTGAACTTTTTATCATAGGCAAATCACAAATTACAACAAACGATCCTTGTAAAATGTTTGTTTTCTCTGAAAACAACTGGAAATTTGTGACGAAAATGCCATGTGACGATATGCTGCTCGTTTCGCACGGAGACTTTATGTATATCTTAAACAAAGATCTTAAGAAAATCTACAAGATAAATCCAAAGAAGAACAACGATCAGACAGAATACGTTACCGATTTCCCGGCACTTGTTGATGTAAAACATGCAATGGTTTTTGAAAACTGTTTCTTGTTATTTTGCTCAGAATTTCTATACGGTATAAAAGATACAGCTGTTCATAAATTTGATATCTCGTCCAAAGCTTGGACCAGATTAGACAATATTAATGGACCAGCAGACCAGTTAATCAGTTTCAGGAACGACAACCACCACTATATTCTACAGAACAATGGCTCCATGAGGCTGATACAAAATATACCTCACACTGGAGAAATTGAATTCAAATTTCTTGATAAAATTTGGAACATAAACATGAACGTGTACGGGGCGATAACTTATCGTGGTAAAGTTATGTTCCTCGGCAACTGCCAACCAAACGAACTTCCTGGCGAGAAATGTTTAAGCCAATTTCCGGAGCACTTTGAAATCATTCGATTTTGGGGAACTGATAAAAATAACTGCTCTAACTTTGTTCCTGTCACTTTTCCTAGGGTTTACTTGAATGAAATCAGCAAAAAGAATCAAAAGTGAATCGTTGCCTTCTGCGAACTCTTTTGAATAATCCATAGAGTGTCTCTGTTAGATTTTACAGCTTCCGAAGTTGTTTTTTTTAATATGGATGTGTTCGATCTTGTGTTGTGCAATCTGTTTGGAGAAACTCACCTACCTTTTTGGAACATTGAGAGATCTCAAGTGGATCCATAGTAACGTTAAAAGAAGTCTGGTCTGCAAATTTGTTTCCGTGATGTGCTAATATTCGAAGCGGTAATGCGAGTTATAGCGTTGATCTATCCCCTATTGGTCCATCTCTATGATCTAATGTAATCTGTTATACGACTGTTGCTAGCAGTCTTGTGACCAAGTCTTTTAAGCAGCGCATTCCGCGACCGTTATGAAGGAGTAAGTGATGGTACATATGTTCACCGAGCATCGTTTGATCAATGCTGGATACACAGTTCCAAATCTTTGTCGCCTCTCTTGTATATCATTCATTTGTGAATCTTGTCAAGGCCTTAAAATATAAAATTCTAATTTAAATGATCCTAAGTGCTGTCGATATTACAGATGGTTGTTCAAGGTTTTAATTAATGCAGTAAAACAAAGTTTATGTTGATTTCAATATAAAATATATATTTTTACATTATATTTTTATAATAATGTAACATACATCTATAATAAATAACTAAAATACATGTTACACTCTGTTGAATTATTTTATGCGTTATATATATATATATATATATATATATATATATATATATATATATATATATATATATATATATATATATACATATATATATATATATATATATATATATATATATATATATATATATATATATATATATATATATATATATATACATAACTGTAAGCTAAGTGCGTTGAGTAATTGTCACATAAAATTGATTGTGGTCGTTTATTAGGTTACTTTCTTCGACAAGCTCAAGTTTTACAGATAGAACGCTTCGAGCAGTTTATGTTTTAATAACATGAATTTGAAATTGTTCCCTTGCTTAGAAGATTTGTAAAATGTATTCGTTGAACAGAGTCACAATAACCACTTTTTAAAGAGTTTTTGTTACTAAATTATATAAAAGTATATAAAATCTTGAAGTGTCTCTTAAAATTTTCTTATTTTTTTTATGTACTCTGTAATCAGAAATCAAAATAAAACTGATATTAACATATACAATTCGTTATAATAAGCAGCGTATAATTAATTGCTCACAGATAAAATATAACGGAGTGAATTCTTTAACTGTATCAATTAGAAATGAATTTCCAGTGGAAAAAGGCTAAATAAATATTAGTTACACTTATGATAAAACCGATAGATTTCAGAGAAAACACAAGTCAAAAACTATTCTTAGAATATCCTGGTTTAAAAAATAATGTATACAATAATCGAATTTTTCAGGTTTTTGAGAAATGTGATGTGGTCACAGAGAATATCTGAAAAATGTAAAATTGTATTTAGGATTTAATAATTATATATGAAATTTCTTCTACCTACCTGAAATGCTACTCAAGTTATCGGTATTTTAGAAAATAAAAATAGTATAACTGATCACTTCCTTAAATCTAAAATTAATCAAAACAAATTCACCAAATGATCTAAAACTATAAAGATAACTTACTTTTAACAAAAAGACCATTCCTCTACTTATATAATTTTCAAAGAAAGATAATTATTCCGTCTGATTATCAGAAATTACAAAAGTTTTTATAAGCCTACGTACAGGATCTGACACTTATACATTACACTTCGTCCACCAAACTAAAACTACTTACTTGTGTTCAAGTACGTACAGACAAACATAATGGAAAGATTTTTCGGTGCATTAAAAATACTTATTATTTATTTTGTTTATTCTATGATAATACGATCCAGTAAAAAAAATAACTTTTTGTTGTTGTGATTTTTAGAACTGACGGAGTAGAGTATTTTATTTCCTCCTTTAAATATTTGCGCACCTAAATGCCTAAATAGTTTTAAAACAAATCGGTAGTCGCACCAACAACGATTATTCCTTTATTCATTATATTTTACACTTGTTCTACTTCCGCCATTACAGTATTTTACAACTTGGAATCGTTTTACTTATTTGAGAGAAAGGTATATAGATAATAATTATATTATATCTGCATTATCTAATATTGACTCGTGTGCTAGAGATCATTACATACATTTGTTCGAGTTAATGACTGATAGTGTTATTTAAATATTGATTTACGTCTTCTGTTTGAAGGCTGAAATAATGTTAGCTTAGGACTTGGTTTGAAGTGTTTTAATTTTAAACTATTTAGATAGTAATTTATTCGTCGATATGAGGCATTTCTTTTTTTTTAACTTTTGCTTTACCCTCGAGCTAACCTCAGCAAATACCTAGACTCTAATGCTGATTTTTAATCCTAATACTAGATCTAGATCTGTAAAAAGTAGGTAAAGTTCTCTTTTCAAACCTGACGGTCTATACGGCAAGTGAAGTAGAGTTCACTTGTTTTTTGTGACCTCGGCATATGAAGAGATAGTGTGGTCAGCAATATGCTCAGCCGCCTTTACTTTCCCTAACGTGAGTTAGGTACCCATCAGAGTTGGGTGGACTCAGCGACGGTCTACTGACTTGAACCCGGATTTAAACACGAGACTTATGGGTTAGCAGTCAATTTCTTAACCGCTAGACCACTCCGTATTTAGATCTGTACCGATCTATATATATAGTTCTCTTCATGGGAATCATAGAAGACACCACCCTCATCCCCACCTGTTAGGTGAGCTGTGGTTCACCACGTATGTTTACAATAGTAGAGCCGGTTCGGTTCAAATAAGTTACAGCTATTAGGGGCAGATAATTTCGTTTTTAAACTATTTGAAACTGCTTGATATTTTCATTGTCGTCTGTAAAAGCTGCTTTCAGTGGGCGGGATGGGGTGGGGGGATAGGGAGTGGGAGTGGGGGAGGCAGGGTGGTGGGGTACGCAACACAAAGCAACGAGGTTAAATTGATAAATACAACATGTGAGCTCCAACTAACCAATCAGAAGTCAGTCAGATGACCAGTCCGAGTCACGTGGTGAGAAAGAAGTAGAGTTATTGGTTATGGGGTATTATAAATCGATAATAAGAAGAGTGAGTCCACTTTCGTTTTGTAATAATGAGGAGTAAAAATAATTGCATGGGTCTAATTAGAGATAGTCTTGAATTGCAGAAGAGACGTAGATAGTAATAGGCGCAGATTTATCTTGCATTATTTTTGTTTTTAGTTTAAACGGAATAAACATTGTGCTGTGTCGCAAAGTTGAAGAAAATTAAGAAAATGTGCGTATATAAAACACGAGCATATTTATTGTGAAAACTTTTAACATTGGTTATGTGGACATGTATCGTTTTCCTAGAACCAAACTCCACGTTTTTAAATTCGAGATTGATACACCGTTATTTTCTAAATCCACCTAAATCATGGTCACATCTCTTACCATAATTATACACCAATTCATTTCACTAAATGCTTATTATTGTTAACACAACTTTAAAAGCGTTCTTGTGAATAGGAGTTAGAGTGGTATAGTTCTGTATTAGAAATAAGCAGTTAGGTTATAGTCTAATTTTTGTTGTTATAAAATATGTACTTGAACCCGGATTCAAACTCGAGACTTACGGGTTAGAAGTCCAGCACTCTACCGCTAGGCCACTCCATCCCATAAAGCTGTACACTCATGTTTAATTAGGCTTTTGTTCAACAGCTTAATTTGGTAATGTGTTTATTCCAACATTAGCCTCACAATTCCTTACAACTCCTTACATCAGATGCACGTGGTGCAAAGCAGAGATACGTATGTATCTTGGAGAAGGATCGTATATTTTATCGCTCAGTTGTAGTAAATTATGGCAAGGGGTTTTAGGATATAAGGATGGGGGCGTATCGATCTCTGGGACTTCGTAATCAACCAGACAGTGATCGTAATTAATTACACAAATTACTTTTAAGATTTATTTTTAGAAACAGTGTTGAGCGGCTATTGTCCAGCGATATTTAAGATAAGTAAATATTTTTTTTTTCATTATCATCAGCATTTTTCCTTCATTATATATTACAGAAAGAATATTTACGCCATGAGCTCATCGGATCTGTGTACTAAAATAGTCCACTGCCTTCAAAATTTGTGGAAGGAAAAAATGTTATTTGACTTTTTAGTAAAGATAAACGACGAAACAATCCAATGTCACCGAGTAATTTTGGCCGCTTGTTCGGATTTTTTTCTGGCCATGTTTCGTTCCGGAATGAAAGAAGCCACAGAGAACTGCGTTGTGCTAAAAGAAATTTCTTCTGAAGTTTTTCAGTTAATTTTGAAATCAATTTACACCGGGGCAAATCTGTTAACGTTAGAAAACTTTATTGAAGTTTGGCGAGCAGTTCAAATGTTGCAGATAAAAGTTATGATAGATTTGTCCGAGAACTTTGCCATTGAAGCTATTACCATGGACACATGGGAAAACATTTACACAAATGCTAATTTTTTGTGTTCAGAAAGAGTTCTCAATGAGCTTCATTCGTTTATGTTAAAAAACTTTGAAAAGATTAGTCTTTCACAAACATTTTTACAACTTCCATGCAAGAAACTTCAGGACTTAATCAAAAGTCAGGATCTCGTAGTCAGCAGTGAAGATCTGGTCATGGAGTCTGTTATAAAATGGGTCACGTATGACAATAGTATGACAGGTATAATAAACGAAAGGAACGTAAGTGTTGATGATCCAATAGAAGATGATTTAAACAAAAACAAAAAAATGATTTTAGATGCTGATTCGCATTTGACTTCTGAGACATCCGCCAGAAAAGACTGCCTTACACAGTTGTTGGGGACAGTTAGGACATGTTTAGTGCGTCCAACAGTGTTATCCCGCGTCCTAAAAATAAACTTTGTATCTGAAAATAAAGATTCTAGAGATATCATTGTCGACGCCTTGAAATATCATGTCCAAGACTTCAGACACGGCCAATGGCCATCGGCGGCTGTACGTAGATCTTGCAGTGGGTACAAACATGTTGGGGTATCTGCAAAAAGTGATGGGAAGTTTGAAGTGCTAGACGCAAGCAATGGTAAATGGTGTGCTATTAAAAGGTGTCAATATTTACAAGAAAACATTCAGCTCCTCAATTTTGATGGTGAACTTTATGCGACAGGAAAACAATACAACGACCCGGACGAACCTTGTCGAATGTTTGCGTTCTGTGACAACAGCTGGAAAGAAGTTTTGGAAATGCCAAGTGACAATTTGTTGTTGGCGTCACATGGGGAAAGCATTTTTGTTTTAAACAAGGACGACAAATTTATATTTTACTTCAACCCGAAAAAAAAATTTAAAAAGAAATTAGAAAAATTAACACCTTTTCCAGACAATGTTGTTGTTCAACACGCAATGGTGTTTGAAGACGTCCTTCTATTATTCTCTTCTGGATCTCAAAACGGAATACATTTGACCATCGTTCATCAATTGGATATTGTGTCCAAAGTTTGGACCAGATTAGACAATCTTGAAGGACCAGCAAAAAATCTGATTAGTTTCAGAAACGACAATCACAACTACATTTTACAAAAAAACGGTACCATGTCACTGGTATCAAACTCATCATACAATATGAAAACTGAAATACAATTTCTTGTAAAGATCTGGCAAAATGAAAGAAAATTATTTGGCGGGTTTACTCATGAAGGAGAACTTATTCTTTTTGGAAAAGTCTCAAAAGATGGCACACTTGAAAATGATTTAGTCCGTGACGTGTTTCGTCACTTTAAATCAATGTGCATTTGGGGACCTAAAGACAATTGCTCGAATTGTGTTCCTGTCATCCTGCCAAGTAAATGTTTTTCTTAATTAACACCTTTTGAGTTGAATCTCTTAAGAGGTAAGTTAATATAATAATTTTGTGGAATAAAAGTCACACAGGTTTTTTTTTAGTATAACACTATAATGTATGTTGTAAGATTCAATTGAAGTAAAAAGACATAAAATGTACACAGATTTACATATTTGTCCACACCATGTTTTCCCCATTTACTGTTTGTATCGTATAACCTGCCTTATATAGTCTTCTGCCCTAGTATATCCCCAACATCTTGTTCAATATTTCACACGGTCTAGTCTCGTCAGCCACTAGTTATGTCTTTGTGTGCCTGTTTTATGAGTTCTAAAATTAACAACATTTGGTTGCGCTGGTTAAACAATTTATAATTTATCCAGCATTGCTCACAATTTTCTTTTTTAACGCTTTAACTTCATAATAGTAAACATCAGTGATATGTACTTACCTTTATACATGTATACTTATCTACTTCATCCTCATTCTTGACCGGGGAACTTGTTTATTCATTCCATGTTAATGGTGCATCTTTTTTTAACAAACTACTGGATATTGTTTAACAATGTCTGTCGATTGATCAGCGGTCTTCGAAATTGTTAAATTTGTTTAAAAAAATGATATCATGATCTGGTATGTGTGGTCTGAAATCATCTATCCCTTTTACTTTCTATCGACTGGTACAACCCAAAATAATAGAAGTGTTTTTATTTACATTTGCTTACATTCTAAAAAACGTATGCGGTAAAAAACAACAACTGGCCTGGCAAGCTCTACATTATCTAATTACAGCAAACTTTTTGCAATTGACATCTCAATTAAATGGTTTTACATCGTCAAACAGATCAATAAAGGATCCATATTTTTGTTGTCCATCCCGATATTTTGATACAATATATTTTACTCTTATTCGTATTGCACAAGCTAAAATATTAATACGTTTAATCTGATTTATGTTTATAACAATGTATATATTTATAGTCATGTGTATAATAACATTATTATAATGGCAATATATTTTTTGTTCCTTACATACCTATAATTAAACAATTAAAAAATTTAAAAAAAATGTTACTACCATATTTTGTTTTGTTGCTTAATATTGTGTATTTATAAATGTCCAATAAATTTATATGGTGTCTATCAAGTGTTAGTCTCAATAGTAATTGAATCGTTGTTTTTATTAAGTTACAATAAGAGAAACTGCCATTCCAATTTTTCATGCTTTGCTTTTGGCAAATACTGTTAATATTTAAAATAAGTATATTCATGATTAGAATTTACATACTTAATTTAATGTATTAAATCGTAATTTGTGTTATTCATTGATTCAAAAGGGTTGTTTAAAACATTGAAATAGTTAGTGCTATTTAGTAAATTAAAAGAAATCGGTAATTTATCGTTTTACGTACATAGACTTACATGCGGGTTGACCTAGATATACGTCTATATTGTCACCACTTAAAATATGGGTATATTATCCACATATTTTTTAAAAGATTACTTATTGAAAAAATCAGCTTCAATTTACAAATCAATCTAAAATGTAACTAATCGACACTATGTACTGGGATTTGAGATAAAACGATTACACACATCAGTCAACATTGTTTAAAAAAATACTAATTTCTCTATATGAAATAATTCATTATTTCATTGTGAAATGCACGTTTGTATAACATATGGTTTTCTATAACTTTGGCGACTGCGGGCGGGGTGGGTATGGCTAGAATTTAATGATTACATGTGATTTGGAGTGGTGTAAAGAGAACAATACATTGTATTTTTAAATAATAAATCAGATGAAGAATGTGGTAATTGTAAACAGAATTACCGTTATTTAGTGAGGTGCTATGTTGAAAGTAGAGTTCTGGCTTTCTATGATATCAGGTGAATGTGCAAATAAAAAAAAATTTGAAATTTTTTAAAATAAAAATATAGCGTAATTTAGCTCTCTTTATTGCAATGGTTTTAATGTTAAGTTTTTGATTACATTATATGCCATAAAATATTCGAAATTATATCTATCTTAAAATGTCATGTATAGTGATTGCCTCTTCACCAATAACTGGTTTCTTCTGAAACTACGTGGATCTAAATCTACCTACGGCAATGGATTCCCTCAATTTTGTTTAATCATCATAAACACTTTGCGCACCTAGTCATTTGAAAAAGTTATCTTTATTTTAATTATTCATACCGCACCACCCTAGAGCATATTTAAAAAAACGTAAATTACATGTTATTTACTTCCGACCAAACATACTAACCACGTCTAAAATATATATCGAATCATCGTCTACTTATTACAGAAGGTATGTGTTTAATAATAATTAAGAGTGGTGTTTAGTACATCGTTTAAATGGTGCAGCCCTGGTAAATTCACGAATACAATTAATTAAAAATATTAAGTCTTAAGGTTAGGGTTTCTATTTATAGCAGATTTGAGTTGTTTAATTATAGAGAAATAGACTACTAAACTGTAAGTCAAGAGTTCGGATATTTGGCCTAAGTCCGTATTGTGTCCCCGAGTCCACCCAGCACTAATCAGTACCTGACTCACGTTAAAAAAGTAAAAGCAGCTGGGTATAAGCCTACCACTGACCACACTATCGCATTATTTTTTGCTGAGGTCGAAGAAACAGTGTAACTTTTTTTCATCTGTCCTTTAAATCTAGTCCACCATGTTCAAAAGGGAAACTTTTTTTATTCCTTATGAGCTGTTTAAAGCCTAATGAACTATAATTACTATATTAACATTAAATTTTGCACACATAACCAAATAATGGACACATCAGCTAATTCTAAAACTAACCATCTGTGTAACCCTTGCCTTGCATGAATTATTACTATACTGAATATACATAAATTCAGAAATTATTATTATGCTGGATACACTAAAGTGTATATTATGTATTTTAAAACAATGACATATGTAACATGTGTAACGAACTCCAATAATCAACAAGATTTTGCAGCATATCAAACTGACAAATGTGTTTGATGAGGCACCATTTATATACGTATACAATACATCAGCATTATACGTATACAATACATCAGCAGTGTCTGGGTCTACCGCACTATGTGTCATGATATTTTAGAAGAAATATCATTGCAAAAAACATACGCGTATACAAATAGACAGTAATGGGGTGAATATTAGGTTTGTCAGTATGTTTAATAATAATCTATATATATAATTCTTTTCTTGGAGACGATAGAAAACACCAAGCTGTAAGCGCGCTCCCTACCACCCCCACCCCTACATGGTCTGGTGAACTGTGGTTGAGGCTAAATGTTTACAATCGTAGATCCGGGTTTAGTGACGGCTATTAGGGGCAGATAATATAGTTTGAAACGATTTTAAACTTAGGGGAGGTAACTAAGAGGATTTTGCTTTCAAGTGGGGGGGTTGGGGGGGGGGGGTGTAGGGGTTAGGGGAAAGGAGGGGGTATCGTCCTTAACGACCATCTGATAGTGTTTTAAAGCAAATATTTTCAGTGGCAGCTTTGGTACTGTCGAATTCACAAATTCTGAATTACTGAAAAGTAGAAAATAAAACAACTAAATAGCGGCGTATGATACGCCGCAGGTCGGCTTGTAAATTTTAATATTTTTTTGTTTTTCGAATTTTCACATTTTGTCTTTTGTATATTATATTTTATAATTATACTTCATATTTTTATGTTTCGTGTGCTTCTAATTTATACGTATATAGATATAAATATCATTTTATACACATTTATATATATATATATATATATATATATATATATATATATATATATATATATATATATATATATATATATATATATATATATATATATATATATATATATGTTACGGTCAAAGCCCGAAGTGCGGCCAAAGCCCGCTTTGGCCAGCCAATTTGCGCATTGTCCGACTCTCTTGGTTAAAGCCCGAAGATCTTAGCGCTGAGAGCGTATTTCGTACATTGGCCGACCAATGCGCGCACTGGCCGAGACGAACTGGCCAAAGTACGAAAACTTTTAACTTGACAGCATATTTCCTACGTTGGCCAGCAAATGCGTGCACTGACCGGGATGTCCTATCTAGACTAAGTTTTGATCTCGTTTTCATTATTCTGGGTGCGGTTTCATTGTGAGTAACGTATTGTTTGTATGGCATTCTATATGCAATGCGACATTGACCAAAAGGGCCATCCGACCAAGTGACAGACATACCAGATGGCTGCCAAAGTAAATAATCCAAATCCTAATGGAAGAGAATTTTTTATTCAATTTATTTCTGAACTAAAGACCATCTGGCCTGAACTTAAACTAGTTCACAGAAATCATCAAGGAATCCAACAATAGCCATAAGAAGTCTTGTTTGGATGCAAAACAAAAGCGGGACCTTGCACTTTAAATCTACCAAGAGAGGATCTCGATAATTTAGTTACAGAGAACATTCAACAAGAAATGGAGGTTGCCATATATGCAACGATATCCTAAGCTAACACATATGCTGCCGTGGCGGAAAGTCCAGACCAGTTGCGTGACAATAATATGGTCAATAGAAAAATATTGTGGTGCAGCCCATTCTTGTGGATCCTTTGGCAACGATGTCCAACGATGTAATTCTAAATGCCAATAATGTTCAACATGTTGTAACACGTGATAAAATTGATTGAGACTATAGTGCAATAAAATAATTTGAATGTTTCTGTCATTTAGGCCGACTTTCATTAATAATCATTAAAGACTTAATTTCGTGATCCTTAAGGTATGAAAAAACCCTCAATCTGCTCATGATCATCTAATTCTGACTTTGGCCAGTCGTCCCTAGCCAGATGATCTTTTTATTCAGACTTTGGCCAGTCGTCCCTAGCCATATTATCTTCTAATTCGGACTTTGGCCTATCGTCCCTCGCCAGATTATCCAGCCTGGCTAGTCCGCGGATTGGCCGGCCAAAGGATGAAATCAAGTTAAGTTTCGGACTTTGTCAGATCAATGGGGAACAATGCGGGCTTTGGCCGACTTCGGGCTTTGACCGTAATATATATATATATATATATATATATATATATATATATATATATATATATATATATATATATATATATATATATATATACACTAGACTACCCGTCATCCCTTGAATAACCGTGGGTTTTGGGGGTCATCCATAGAAAAACAGCACGTCTGTCACTTATCGTCACATAAAACCAGACCCAACATTCAAAAAGATGTTTTTGTATCTTTTAAAAACACCGATTTCGGACTATCCCTTCATATACTGACGTCACAGGTGACCTACTCAACTCTTCTTCACCTGCCCAGTATCCCGCCAAGTCCCAGACAACATGTTTTTATCGTTTAAAAAAACGATTCCGGCCGAGCATGCATCTGACCACACTACCCATTTATATACTTTAAACAAAGAAACAGATGAACTCTACTTCACCTGCCCTGTATCCCGCCAAATTCAGATAGGCAACTTTATCACTCACATCTAAA